AAAGATGAGAAAACTGAGACATGGAGACCTTTCCAAGACTCTGATACTTCCCACAGAGTACCATGGGGCTGGGCCTTTCAGAGCCAAATCACCCTTCAACAGAGTCTAAAAGGAAATACTCATCTGAAACACTAAAAGCGATTCCCACCAAGGCAAGAGTTGGGAGCCCCAAGGTCCAGGCCCAGCTCTCTGGTGAAGAAGCTGATGGCCCTGGATACGTCCTTTCCCCATAGGACCTGAGACTCCCTATCTATAAAATGGAAGGTACTGAATGACAGGCTCTTTCACAGGCCTGCCACTCCACCCTAATACTCCTCCTAAAGCTGTTAATCAGAAGGCTGGCGGTTCAAACCCACCAGCCACTTCTCGGAGAAGTAGTGATACCGCTTCAAAAACCCAAGCAGGGGTCGCTATGAGTCAGGTCCGACTCAATGGCACATAACAACAACAACAACAAAGCTGCTGCTTGTTTCTCAAGCTTTGTTACTGGGGATTCCTGCTTCCTTTATACCTCATCTCCTCCCTTTCTATCTCACTCCTAACTGGGCTTAAGAGCAATTAGTTGTCAATGAACCTGAATGAGGCTTAAGATATTATCAGCAGTGTGCTGGTAAATGTTTAAAAACAGGCTCTAGGGGGAGGAGGGTCACCCTAATTTGTAGTGTGTGCTGATTTTCATAGTATAAATATTCCCACCATGGTCAATTTCAAATTATCAACCTAAGGTAACTGATGGCAGAGCTAGAAGGAGATGTGCACACATGGCTCTCACAGGTCAGCATGGGCTGGCTCTAGCATACCCCTTCCTCTCAGAGGTATTTATATTCTAACCAAACCAAACCCAACCCACTGCCATAGATTTGATTCCAACTCATAGCAACCTGCATTGGGTTTCCAAGGATGTAAATCTTTATGGAAGCAGACTGCCTCACCTTAGTCCCATAGAGCAGCTAGTGGGTTTGAACCACCAACCTTTTGATTATCAGCCAAGTGCCTTAACCACTATACCACCAGATCTCCTTTTACATTCTAACAGAAGGTTCAAAAAGGCGGAAGATCTTCCTGTATACAATGGAAATACTTACAGAAAATCTGATAAATATGGAAGGAACAAAAGAAAAGTCACCTCAGGTCACAACATCTAGACCATCTCTGACAATATGTATCTCTACATATTATGATAGAGTTGTGACAGCATTAAGATATAGTTTTTTATCCTGCTTTTTTTCACTTAACATTACAACATAAACATCTCCCCCTGGCTATTATAAAGTCTGGATAACCAATTAATGTTCCAGTAGATAGATGTTCCATAGTTTAATTACTCCATCCCCTATCATTTAGCAGTTAGGCTGTCTGCAATTTTTCACAGTTATAAATAATGCAAAAATGAAATCTTGCTGCCTAAAGGTGTGTTCACTCAATTCTAGTGGTGAAAGTAAAGCCCCTGGAACTAGCGAGATGCAGTAGGGCTGGGCTTGAATGAGGGGCAAGAAGCTGGTCTGGAATACAAGGTCCCTACACCTGGAGGCCTTATAGACATGGCTTACACAGCCCCTGCTGGTTTGTAGGGTCTGGCCCTTTCCCCACTCCCACCCATTTCTCACCATAGCACCCCTGCCATCTTCACATGGGATCCAGCCACCCTTGGCAGAAGTAATAAGCCAGAAAACACTAATCTGATGTAAACTACCCTTTCTGAGAGAGCTAACATCCATGATGCCATCATAGGGACAATCTCATGGGTTTTTGAAAGAATGAACTAGACTGGAAAGAAGTAAGTCATGGGTCAAGGGCCTGATGTGGACTAGAGAGGGCACTTGAGTAGCAACAGAGGTATCAATTCAGTCACACCCTGCTACCCCACACCCACTCTGAAAACAGGCCATAGACAAGCCCTCTCACACTAGAGTGACTACTCATTCTTTTTCAGAAAGACTCAGGGAAAGGGACTCTCAGCTAGCAGCACTCAGCTCCCTGCACCCTCACTCCATCCAGTGTGTACCACACAAAGCCTCATTCCAGGCCTTATGCAATCCCCCTTTTTCTACCTCACCTACTGTCCACACCCAGCCCTGTGACACAGGCCCAACTCTACCAAGCTGCCCTTTATGGGCCCAGCTCCTGGCTGATCCCACATGGTGCTCTCATTACACCACTCACTTCCACAAAGATACCCTCAGGTGCCATGTCATGCCAGCCCAACATCAACCACTGAATCCCAGAGTTTAGTGTGAGAAAGTCCTACCCCTAAGGGATTTCTGTGTTGGGACACACAACCACATTTGCCACTGGCACCCCAGCCCTGGGACACCTCACCAGCCGGGCAATCCAATCTCCTTGTGAGCAGAACAGCGTCATGAGGAGCCTTGTAGAACTCAAGTTTCCTGAGGTAATGAGGAGTCTTACTCACAGCACTTCTGTTGCTACCTAGTAAAATTTAAGGAGGATATGACATCTCAAGATCATGGGCTTTGAATAAAAACCAGTTGCCATCGAAACAATTCCAACTCATGGAGACCCTGTGTGTGTCATAGCAGAACTGTGCTCCATAGAGTTTTCAGTGGCTGATTTTTTCAGAAGCAGACTGCCAGCCTTTCTTTCCAGCCTCTCTGGGTGGGCTTGAAGAACCTGTCTTTGGGTTAGAACCCGAACAACTTAACCTTTCACACCCCAAGGAGTCCTAGACTTTGTATAACCAAAACCCAAACTTGCTTCCACTGAGGTCCTGATTCATAGCGACACCTCCTTAGGTTTCCAAGGCAGTATCTCTATGGAAGCAGATTGTCCAATCTTTCTTCCGAGGAGTGGCTTGTGGTTTTGAACTGCCAGCCTTCTGGTTAGCAGTCAAACACCTTAGGCACATGTATCAAATCCCCTCCTGATAAGTTTAGGAAAACAAAGCCAAGAGACTGGAATTGCTTACTCTACTGGGGCCCAGGGGCAATACTGGAAGTATGACCCCATCCAGTGCCCTCTGTGCTGCACCCCACAAGCCTCCCTCACCCCAGAGCTGACAGTTCTTGAACAGCTGCTCCTATAAGGCCATTCCCAACAAGCAGCTCAGAGAGGGACACAGGGAGCAGCAGTCCCTGGGGAAGTTTCTGGTCCAGAGCAGTGGTCCAGCAGCAGGAGTGTACTCTGCCACTTTGAAGCCACCTACCCTCGGGTACCTTGGCTGAGGGAGGCCAACTCACCTTTCAGCCAGGTTCTGCTGAAGCCTCACCAGCCAAGCTCAACTGGAGTCAGGCAATAAGGGCCCATAGGGAGGGGTCAGAGGAGCTATTCTAGGTGGCATGGACATTGGGCTGGACATTGGGCCTACTGCCTGCCACCCACCACCCACTCCCACAATCAAGAACTCCCTGCAAACATCTGTTGTTATTTCACCAAACAGTGACAACCAGGCCTGATGACAGAGGGGCTTTCCCCTCCAATTATTCCCTAATTACTGCCTAAGTCTGTTCTCTGCTGCTGTGACACAGCTGTAAATTGTGCTGCATAATGGTTCCACGATCCACTCATGGTTCTGGGAGGCAGACGCTGGACTGAGGCAGCTGCCTTGAGGACCCCTGGGTGGGTACCCCCTCAGGATCCCAAGACAGGCCAAAGTTACACCAGAGCTCATGGTCTATGTTTCAGGCAAAGGGACAGCTTGAGGAGTCCCCACAGACTAAGGTGGGCCTCATCTAGGGAAAGGAATGGACAATATACAGACACAGCTAGCCCAAAATGTGGACAGATGGCCCAAAGAGCTATATTGCTCACTACCACTACCCTCTCCTCTCTTCCCTCCTGACAGCTCCTTCACCTCCTCCTGTTGTGGAGGGGCAGGCCTCCTACTACACCCACCACAGCCTCTACCCCACCCACAAACAGACTGGCCTCTCTCACAGTGGGACAGCCTGAAAGCTCCAATCCAAAGGGGAGGGTCCTTCCACCTAGGGTGCAAGACCACAGGGGCAGTGGTATCATGATGCTTATTCAGGCTGGCCTGCCAAAGCCCACCTCAAACAGCGCCATGGTGGCCTGGAACCACCCTCCCCTGCCAAAGGTCCCACATCCAGGGCCCCACCTCAGTTCACTCTCAAAATCACCCCTCTGAGAAGTTCCCTGGGTCCTATCCCCAGCTACCCTAAGCGTGGTCCAAGGGGTAGCAGACTCGGCACCATGGGGTACCACTTAGAAATGTAGAAACCCAGCCCCTCGACCCACTTCCTGAACCAGGATCTGCATTTTAACAAGACCCCAGGAGACCCACACACACTTGGAAGTTTGAAAGGCAGGGCCTCACACCTTGCCTTGAGGGAGGGCTCATTTCCCTTGGCAGCTCAGAGCTGTGCCTGAGCAACAGGGGATGACTAAATGCACTTGAAGAAAAAAGAAATGAAAAGAAATCTGAGTCTCTCCACTCCTCAGAGACAGAAATAGTCCTGTAACCTCCAGATGGAGGGCACAGACACAGGGGAGGTCCCGTCTTCCCACCAAACCTTCCCAGTGGGATCCTGGCAGAGGCTAGTGGAAACCACCATGGATTTTTCTCTGGGGCAGTAAAATGAGAGGCCGTGGCTCGTGCAGCCCTTCTGTTATAATTAAGTTGGCCAGAAATTCACCTAAGGATACTAAACTGAGTACCTGACCCTCTAATTACAGCCAAAAGGATCAGGACAATTACTTTCCAAAATAGTCCTGGCAGCAACAGGCAAGAGGCGGCATCTCTGGGCACATCTCAAATGAGCCAGCTGAATTCACCCCAAGGCCAACCAGCAGTGCTCACTTCCTCAGGACCCACCCACTGGACTCTGAGATGACCCAGACCCCAGAATTTGGGGTGGCCAGGTCATCAAGAAAACCTGCAGGCGTTGGCTAAGGTCCCTGAGACTCTGCCCTCCATAAAATCAGCATGCAAGACTGATGACAATGCCACCACTCCAATCAAATCCTAATAGGCCCATGAAAAACACCCCTGACATTTGCAAAGTGTGCAAAACTGAAAGTACCTCCTTGGGCAGCTGCTGCAGCTGCTGCTGCAGCCACAGCTAGCGGAGAGGACTTCTTGCCCAGGTCAGGAAAGCTGTTGCCCTCCAGGCTCCCACTTTTGCCGTCTTTCTTCTCCGTGGCAGGGGATGAGGCCGACATCTCCATCTTAGCCGCTCATAATCCTTTGTGGTAACCCTAAAGGAGAAGACAAAGATGCTCACCAACACAGTCTCCAAACCCAGCCAGAAAACACCGACCCAGATTCCTGGCTGTCGTCACATGCATCTAAAGCAACTAACTTAATTCTATCGTAATTGGGAAGGAGGTTTTAATTAATTTTGAGTATTAATAGTCCTGAGATTCGTTTGGTCTTTTGAACGACCTCATGGACAACAGCCAAGAGTTTTCATGGTCTTTTACCCAGATTTTTAAAATCTAAGCAACAAGTTCCTACCCACGTGAGTAACAAACAGCAAGAACTACCTTGCTTACATTGTAGGGATTACAATCAATGGCTTGAAACAAAATGTGTATGAACTGTTGAATGGAAAACTGATTTGCTCTATAAACTTCCACCCAAATAACAATTAAAAGTTTGAAAAAAAAAGAAAAAACACACCTTGAGAAATGAAAGCAGAAGTAAAGACTCTAACTTGGAAACATGGTAAATAAAGATATAATTAGTAACAATTCCAAATCATGGTGACCCAAACTGCGCCAGTGTAAGATTGTGTCCCATAAGATTTTCAGTGTCTGATTTTTTTTTTTTTTAAAGTAGATGAACAAGCCTTTCTTCCAAGGCACCTCTGGGTGGATTCAAACATCTAACCATTCAGTTAGCAGCCAAGTACATTAAATGTTTGTACCACACAGGAATTCCTCAAAAAACAATTCCTGGTTTTCCTTAAAGAAACATCATAGTTTTCCTGCTTCTTCTCTGCTCATCAGAATTCATCCATCATTTATTCATGTGTATGTTCATCCATTCAGTAGATACCTTTCCATCGTCATTCCATCACGTATACACAATTCAGTCAAAATATTTTTGAGCATTCATAAGTTGCCTAGGATACAAACAGTTTATGCTCAACTACTTAACCTAAAGTTTGGTGCCTGGAACCTACCCAGCGGTGCCATGGAAGAAAGGCCTGGTGATCTGATTCCACAAAGATTACAGACAAGAATATTCTATGGGGCAGTTCTATTCTATAACACATGGGCTCATCATAGTCAGACTCTACTGCAACAGGTTTTGTTTTGCTTTTTTTATTATTGACCAAGCATCATGTCTGATGCTGAGGATACAATACAGGGAGTTTACATTCTACTTGGGAGACTGATAATAAATAAGGGGAGGGAGGGATAAACGTATGTTTTAATCTGAGTTAGTGAGAGGCAGTATGGGAAAATAGAGCAGAGTGAGAGGAGAGGAGAGTTGGAGGGGCAGACAGGGTCTATTGTCCCAGGAAAGAGGACAGGGCACAGAAGCAGCAGTGGGCAGCATGAGAGGATAAGCCAAAGGAAGGTCTGAAGGAAGAGGAGCAGCCAAGGCCAGGATCGAAGGGACCTAGCTTACTTGAAGAGCAGCAGACGATCAGGGAAGGCCTTGGAGAGTTCTGACTCAGGCTGTAAAGGGATAGCTCTGCTACTGTGTGGAGAACAGGGTATGGTGGGGTTGGGCAGCTACCACAAAGACCCAGGAAATATGATGGTGGTTATGTCAGTGTTGTTGGAGGGAGTGAAAACAGGGATACATTCTGAAGGTAGAGCTGACAGACCTTGCTATGAGTTTGATGGTGGTATAGTGGAAAAAAGAGCTGTGGGGTAAGGTAGGAACACCCAGGTGGATGCAGGGCCCAGGTAAAGTCCCTATCTCCAACTGAGTCACAAGCAAGCATTTTATTAACATGTGCCATCATTTGCAGATACTGCTAATATGGGGCTTATATCAAATATTAACCAAAAACCCATTGCCATAGAGTCAAATTCTAACTCATAGTGAACCTATAAGACAGAGAAGAACTGCCCCATAGGCTTTCCAAGGTTGTAATCTTTATGGAAGGAGACTGCCACATCTTTCTCCTATGGAGTGACTAGTGGATTTGAACTGCAGACCTTTGGGTTAGCAATCAAGCACTTAACCACTATGCCACCAGGGTTCCTATCAAATGTTTCAGAATAGAAATTTTAAAATCAAATTGTTCAAAACAAAGAGGAGTGTACAAGATGCCTCATATTTTTGGCTGAGTATCTGGACAAATGATTGGTGGAGCCATTGACTGTGATGGAGAAGCAAGTTTGGGGGCAGAAATCAAGAGTTCAATTTGGACCTCATTCAGTTTGAGATGCCTATTAAGACATTCAGGAGGACCACAGTCTCTTGGGACAACTCAGTCAATAGTATAACATAGTTCACAAAACTCATGACCTGCATCCTAGTGAAATGAGTAGCATACAGTGTCTTAAAACTTGCAAAAAGCCATCTAAGACAAACGATTAGTCTCTGCTCACCAGGAGCAAAACAGTAAGAAGTAACCAAAAGCACAGAGAAGAAAGACGTCTACAGTAGCCACAACCTCACCTACTCTGAGACCAGAAGAACTAGACGATGCTTGGCTATCACCATGGAACATTCTGACCAGGCTAACAATTGAAAAATAAAAACCAAACTCACTGCCATTGAGTCAATACTGACTCATAGTGACCTCCATTGGGTTTCCAAGGCTGTAAATCTTTACGGAAGCAGACTGTCTCATCTTTCTTCCACAGAGCAGCTGGTAGGTTCAAATCACTGACCTTTTGACTAGCAGCCAAATGCCTTAACTAATATACTACCAGAGCTCCAGAGGGTAACAATACCACAACCAAACTCACTGCCATCAAGTTGGATCCAACTCATAGCAACCCCCCTTTAGGTTTCTGAGGAGTATCGCTACAGAAGTAGATTGCCCAATCTTCCTTCCCAGGAGTGGCTGGTGGGTTTGAATCATCAGCCTTCTGGTTAGTAGTCAAGTGCCTTAGGCATTACGCCACCAGAGCTCCCAAGGGTAAATAGTTGAGTCCCAAAAAAGAAAGTAAGAAAAATATGGAGAACTCAAATTCTCATTAAAAAAAAAAAAAATGGTCAGACAAACTGGAACAGTAAAGAACAGAGGACTCTCTGAGACTATTACCCAGAGATACTCTTTAAACCTAGAACCAAGTCTATCCCCTGATATCACCAATTAGGGAAATACTAGAGTGGCATACAAAATAAAGAATGTCACCTGTATCATCAGTGCCCTAATTGAAAAACATCACTATGAGACCAAAAAGTCAGCAAGTGCTCAAAAGCAATGATGGGAAGAAGAAAAGAGGGCAGGGAAATTAAAGGAAAGCAAACTAACTGAACACAAAGAGATTCTTGACACACTGTGATAAAATTTAACCAATGTCACCAATTTGTGTGGAAATTGTCAAATGGGAACCTAACTTGCTATGCAAACTTTCACCAAAAACTCAACAAAATATTATTAAAAAAAGAAAAAGGCATCCAGGAGGAAGCGAAACAGAGGCTGCTGGATACATGAATCTGGAGCTCAGAGGAGAGGCAGAGGCTGTGGATGTGAATATAGCAGTCAATGGATAAGACAGTCATAGGAGAGGGTACAAAGAGAAGAAAAAGTTCCAGAACTGAGTCACCAGGCATCCCACCCAACGGTTTGAGGTCGGGGGGTGGGGAGGGGAGAAGGTGAAGCCAGCCAAGGAGAGTGAGTAGGAATGGTCATGGTGGCTGGGCTGGGAGTCAGGGACAATACAGGTGAGTGTGAGATCCTGGAAGCCAACAGAAGAAAGGTGATGTTTTAAGGCAGAGGAGTAACCACAGTCACAAGCTACTGAGAAACAATAGGAAAGGTGAGGCCAGGGGCTGAGGCTAGGCTTGGCAGCATGTCATTCACTGGTCACTTTGACAAGAACTGTTCCAATCAAGAGGTGGTGGCCAAGGCCTGGTGGTGGAGGGAGGCCAAAGAGAGAATGGAAGAGAATAGAAACAGAGACACTGATAATTCTGTTCAAGAAGTTTTGTTTTACTAGAAACTGACTCAGCAGCTTCTTCCCTGAGTCAAGTGTACTCCATTGTATTATAACAAGAGTGTCATATTTTACTTTTTAAAAATGAAAATAATAAATGTAAACATTTTCAAAAAAGAAGTTTTGTTTTAAAAGAAGCAGAGAAAGGAGGGGGGCAGCTGGAGGAATATGTGGAATCAAGGGAGATTTTCTGCTGTTGTTTAAGCAAGCAGGGGTACTGGTGTATCTGCCGATGGGTGGCTCCAGGAACAAGCTCAGGGGTCCCACTGTGGTAGACAACAAGGCAATAGTCAGTTCCTCTTCCTGGGTGTCAAAGCTAAACGTCTATCAGTAGACCCAGAATTGTATGTTCTTAAGTGTCCACACTCTTGGAAGGAAGGTTGGGCAATCCTACTTCTGTAGTGATACTGCCTTGGAAACCCAAGGAGGGGTCGCTATGAGTTGGGGCCGACTCGACGGCACATAACAACAACACAACAAGTGTCCACACTACTCCTGGATCTAAGCCTAAAATAAGAGTATACAAAATGAAGAGGGTGGAGGGCAAGAAGACGGTCTTCTTGTGGCTTCCTTATCTAACAGCCCAAGTTTTGGCTTCCTGGTTTCATCTGCACACACCAGCCTGTCTGGTTTCCACAGTCCTTTAAAATCCACCAAAATCAGGCAGGTGGTGATAGAGAAAATTCTTTGGTGAGTTATAGCTTTCCTAAAGAGTCCAGCCAAAATCATTGTCCAGAATTTTTTAAAAGCCCTTTTAAAAATCTGTTCTCACAAGCAGCATGTTTTGCTCCACATTTGCTTCTCCTTCTCTGCCCTTATCCTTCCATGGCACCACCCCAGCAACCACTGGGCTGGTTCTTGGGGCACCTATCCCCATTCACATCCAACTGACTGTGATCACTTCACCTCCAAAGCCCATGGCCTATGGTGCCTCTGCCAACCCACAACTCTCTGCACCTGTGGCCTAGGCATTTTCCACATCTCTGGACCCCCCTCCGTGTCATCCTCTTCCCATAACACCTAATCTCACCCTATCCATCCCTGAACATGGCCTTACTTAGTCCTCTGTCTTGCAGGTCAAGTCTACCATCTAT